CCTTTCATTTCTCATTCACCGACAAAGTTGGCCCTCTTGAAGTACTTGAGAACGAGGAACTGCTCTCGGGAGCACGAATACTTGTCTTCGGAAGCTGTAGCCAGCTGCTTAGAGCCTTTGCATTCAAAAGGCCTTTCAAGAATAACCGAATATCCTCAGTCACAGCTTAAGGTTAAGATTGAGCTTTACCAATCGTTTACAAAGTTGTGGGAAACCTTATAGTACAATTGTATGATTTGAAACAATGCCTCTTATACTGTAAGCGTTTTCGTGGCTGATAAAAATGAGAAAAAGGTTCAGCAGTGTTGCGACCTGAAATGAACCAGCCTGCCCTCTTTTTTCGAAAATTTTATTGAACCAATCTTCAAAACTTGCTGTTTCATGTTTTATTCTGAAGAAATCACTTCTTGGCGTCTTCGAGCTTTCCTACGCCAAGTCATAAGGTTAGACGATTATGTAAAGATGATGTTGACCTTTCTCTGAAACCTTCGGTTTTTTCCATCATATTGGCCTGAACTTTTATATTACATTTATTTTGTTTTCAACATTATCTTTCATTTGATTTGCCTATGTACTTGTGAGTTTTTCCTCGGAGTCTTCTATTTTTAATCATCTTCCGTTTTTTCCCACCCCGTAATGGGAATGGCATGGAAAATGGCGTATACTCGATAACTGTGTAGTTTTTCTGGATGTGCCAATTACCATAATCTTACCCTTTGAAAAATTCAAATTAACCTTCCCCAATCTTCATGGAATTTTTAGGAACTGACCTGTTGGATATATTTCAGTATCTTCAAAATGACGTAGGTATAAGTGAACTTCGAAATTGTGCCAGTAGCCCTAAACGAAAACCCAAAGGTCTGCTTTCTCTTTTCCGTGCTGTCCATATAGTTTACTGTTTTCCTGAACGCTTTTATAACGTGCTATAAACAGCTATGGATATCCAACGGAAAAGTAGTCCTGCCCTTCATGTGGTTGACTTTATGAGGTAACAATTAGACCTTTTTATAAAATTAACTCTTTTACGGGAGTTTTCAAGCGTTCCCGACTCCGTGCTATAAATAGGATTCACTTCTCCAGGCATGCTGCATAACTTTAATTAAAGTTAGTTAATTTTGGTACAACCCTTGAGTTATGCACTTTTTGTTTACTTGTGAGAAAAAGTGCACATAAAGTATGTAGCTATTTTCAATATCTACTTGTATAGGAGCTCTATGCGGTTGGATGCTTTTGGATGTTCCCTGTTTTTGCATTTGCCCTCCTTGTTGTCATGTGTAAAAATGAGGCAAAATGCATTTATAAGCCATCCCATAAACAATTACCTATTACCCAACGTCTCGTAGTAAGATGATTGGAGAACGCTGTTCCATGTGAGATTTTTTCCATTTTTTTCTTAGATTAAATCTCATTTAAATCCGATTTCTTTGAGCAGAAAAGCTAGTTACAGCGACTTTCTTCAGACACCCTTTCAGTCTTAATCCATTTCTACTATCGATTACAAGTTATCTCTTACATTTTTTCAGTTACCTTCAATGTTTTCATGCCCTAAGCTAGATGTGAAATCAAATTTCATTAGTTCCGTTCATTACGGGGGTGTTCCTTAGGTTTTTCGAAGAACAAAACAAAACCTCATTACTGGGCAATTACTGCTAAACGTAACGATGAGGAATTAATTCTACGATATACGACCCCATTCGTATTCAGCCTTCGAAACATCTCCTTTTAGAACATGTCGAACTGGCACTGGTACGGTAATGGTTGAATACTGTACTAATTGTGGTGCATTAATTACACCCGTTGTTAACAGCGTGGGTAAATAGTAGTTTACGATCTGAAACGTCTTAGACATCCTTCACTTCCGTCTTTGTGGTGAGGGATTCTCACAGCATCCTTGAGCCACTAGGCAAACAAAATAATGGCAGCAAGGCAGTCCAAACTGGTTGTGATCTTCAAGGAACTTTACGTTTCCATACTTCATGGTGCTTCTTCGTGTTTGGCCATACTTGATGTTTTTCAGGAGATTTCTCCTAATTACAGGATGTCTTCATTATTAGTCAGCGCATTTTTATTATGACATTATTGTATTTTTTGCTTTACATAACGTTTATTTATTGACTTACTTCGTACTCTGAATTGACTCATCTACTTTTACGAGAATCTGATTCACATGCTGAATCTTGCCAGACCTCTTATTGAATATGAGAAATACTTAAATACTTAATGGAAATACTACAGGACCCTTACTTCTTCAACTACAAAGTCAAACCAGTAGGAGTGTAAGATTTGTCAAACAGTAGCCTACTACCTTTGCTTAGTAAGGTTCCCAACAGATTTTCGAAATCCTATAGTTGAACGGGCAGACGGATAGTCCGCAGATTTCCACCCACATGTTCCCCATAAAGTCCAGCCAGCCGTGTGATTACTTAGCATACTCGGCTGACAGTTAATACCTAATGCCTCCTTGAATTTGAGCCAAAACATGTTTGCCATCTCCGATGTTACAAGTTTCATACTAGTTCGATAGCTTCGAATTGTGTAAAGGCTTGTATTATGTGCAGCAGTAGTGTCAAATAAAGAAAAAGTCACGTACGTGTCATAAACTTCACTTCTCAAAGGGCACGAGACGTTTTTAATTTGCAGTGATAAGTGAGTTACTGGTAAAGTAGCTAAATTTGTGTCTAGGTTATTTTCATGAATGCCAGATGTACTTAATCATTTGAGGTCAATGACATAATCATCATTTGAATGAATAGAAATATGTTATTCAAAAGAGTTAACTGCAGTCCTATGTCGATATCTACTTTTAGCCTTAAGGAGGAGGAGTAGGGCTTAGCTACCATGATCGGCCGAAAATTACTCATCAGAAGGGTTGATTGGGATGAAGTGGACCTCATCACACGAACTTGCTACTACACTACGCGTTGGGCCAAGCATTCGACTCAGAGATTCATAGCTGCGATTACTTTTATACATTTATTTATACTTTATCATATTTTCTAAGTACTTATTCAGATTTTTTACCAGCATTAGCAATTCACTCTTCTACTCATTAAACGACCAGAAAGTCAATGTGTCCATCGCTCAATTTCGACAAAGTTCAGTGTACGGATGGCTTTATCAGGTTCTGTTTTGTGGGCATTGTACATATGCTGTGCAGAAGGAAGTAGAGCCCTCTGCTACTCATCCTTTACCCACCCTCTGAATGAGCTGCTGGATATTTCCTTGAGTTGGAAACTTTGACCAGTTAGAAACTGATATTGGGCTTTGTTTGTATTAATTTCTCAATGAGGGAAGAGGGATTTCTTCTTTTTCGTGCCGAGATCGTTCCCATGCTGGAACGAAATGACTTTTACATATGAATAAGAGGCATACCGATTATGTGAGAAATCTCTGAAACCATCTGTTTTCTGATAAACTTCCTCAACTATCGTCGATGCAGTATGTAGGCGATTCTAATTGATATATCTTACTGCTGAAACCGCAGTGGTAAAATTTCTGCACATTCTGCATATTTGAAATTTCTTTATTTATTCATTCACGGACACTCAAGAGTGCGCCCACATTTCTTCGGAAGGGCTGAATCAGAAAGCAAATGGCACAAGTAGTTTTTCCTTATAATGTTCTCCTTCCAGTTTGCACGTTAACTTAGAATGTGGCCTTTTTCCTTTTCGATGTCCCAACTTCTTCTTGAGGGTCAACCTCGTATTAGTGTGTTTCCTGCGAAAATTTCTAGAGAGCATGGATGAGGCAAAAGCACTTCAAGCAATTAGCTTGATTATAAAAAAGAAAGACCACTTCCAAAACTATGGTTTGAGGGTAATCTACGATTTTGAAGCACTTTTTGACCGATTCAAGTAATAAAGCAGTATCGTTCCTTTCAATAGAGAAGAGACGATGTGAACTATGTTAATTCTGGCATTCGGAGTGTGCCATGTCTCTCGATCCTCTTTGAAATTCAAAAAACATGATTGATGAGAAGGAGCGGACAAGTTGGGGTTTTCATCATGTTTTTATCCCCTTGTAAGGATTAAAAATGTTTCCATCGATCCTAGACGAACTTGATTGGCTCAAGTAATCCTCCCATTTGACTTCTAAGTATTGCTCGCAGGCTCTTCATATTAGCTTGATATGCTATGCATCTGAATGAGCAAACGGAACTTGTTTATCACATTGAACAAACAATGTTTACTAGTACTTCATTATACTCGTCAGTCTTTTCAATGACTTTGTGTACTGCTTTGCCATGTATTGCCCTGGAGCTCTAGCGAAAACAACCTCCTACAACAAAGGCCTTCTCGAGCCACTGCTATCTATTTCGAGCTGTTTCGTTTCCATGAAGAGAAGGAGTCATAACAAAAAGCGTCTCGATTTGTTAGCTTGGTCCTTTTTACATTATTGATTCATATAGCAAATGACTTTTATTCCCTCTATGTCCGAGGCCTAAACATGTGACAATCATATTTCCTTGTTTACCGGGGGAAATTCCTCACTTGTTTTTCGAGGATAGGGGACTTCTCATCGTTGTTTCATTCTTAAGTCCACAATTTTGAGGTGTGGGACAGTAGGAACGAAATTGTCGCGTCGTGGTGAGAGAGGTAGCAGAATGCAGCAGTGAGCAAGAAATTCAGGAACAAAAGAGCCAACAGTAGAATTATGCCAAAAGTAATAATCGCATAGCGATTGAGCTGTATGAAAAAAGCTGGAATTGTTATAACGAGGCATATGGCCCACGACAGCCGCGTGCGGCGAATCGATTGCACGAAACCGTTCCTACTGGCCTTCCCCCACAATGTTGTTTCGGCTTAGTCTTTGATTATGCGTGTTATTCGGTTTAATTTGTTATTACCAGCAGCGTAACCATGAAATTTCTCTACATCAATTTACATAGCAGATTTACCATAACTTACCGCGTTTATAACTATCTCGACTATGAGCTGCTCGTACTCCAACGCGTAGTTCAACTCATGCTGTTGCAGATCATTACGAGCCGTCTTCTCACTATGATGAACGGTCGCGCCGTGCGCTCCGTTCTGATACGGGGCAACCGAGGAGAAAACGGATCCGTTGAACACGTAAGTACACTATATTTCGTATTTATTTTAGAATTTTAGTATTTTACCACTTTGTTTAACCATAGGCAGTTCTCACTGGTAGTTGGTAACTGTTGGTGCTTTTTGTTTTACTTCATATTTCATGCAGTGTGTTCTAAAACGTCCTGTGTTTTTTGCAAACATTATTTATTGCATTGCCAATGATTCCTGAGTATTGAATTTTATTCAAATTTACCTCATCCATACTAATAAAACATCGTGGAGCTCTTAGCAAACGCTCGAACATTTTCAAAGATTGCTTGTACATGCAATGCTGACTTTTCTATGCGTCTTTCCAAAAAAAAAAGATTTTTATAAACTAGTTAAGATTATTGGGATGAAAAGCTAAGCCAATGTTCTGATAGACAAAATCAGAGCGATTACTATGGGGATGTGTGTCACGACGAAAAATTGAACATATAGCGGTTTCTCATTTACCTTTAGTCTACTCAGTAAGTCATTACCTTGAAAATTTTACAGGTACCTCGATCTGTACAGTTTGATGAAAGTTCGGAAGAATATCGCTGCCTGTGTAACTGCTTCCATGTAAAAATTGGTGCCTACCTCATTGGGGCCGTTCATGTCTTCATGATCCTATTTTTCCTGATTCATTCTCTTCTTGTATACTTCCAACATGACGGCAGATTACAAGATGTGCGTTCCTTCTTTTGATATCAAGTTATTAATTTGTTTTTCTAAGTGTCATAGCCATTTTGCCATTTTGCTCCTTTCCGTTCTTCAGAGTTGTCATGGAAACTAAGATGAAAATCGCTAACGAAAACCGCTATTTTTTGGAAATTAACTTCATACAAAATGTTTGAACCAGAAAAGCTCTGATTCTTTCAGGCCCGAGGAGTCAAAGAGAATTACGTATTTGCATCGTTCCTTGCCGAAATGATCGGCTTGGGACTGGGAGCCTTTGTTGTTTTCCTCCTATTTATTGGTCTTTCACGAAATCAAGCTTTGCTGCTCGTTCCACATATTGCTGTGCAGGTATATGGTGTTCGCTTTTTATTATATTTACTGAATCAGAATTGCTTATAAAATTTATGTCATGACTTTTGACATATACCCAGATTTAGAACGTAGAATGATACAAACAAGGGTTGATATGTCAAACACTTATATTTTTTTACCGTTTGTATTTTTTATCCACGAAAGCTGTATATTTGTCCGAAGCGCTTTATATGTCATTTCTCTCTGTATCATTGGAATATGTGCAATATGAAATGCTAGTGAAATCAAAACGTTTTATGTAGGAATTCACTGCTATTACTCCTTTGAACTCTGATAAGAACAGCAGACCTTACGACGGCAGTAGACCTTTGGGGTAGAAGAAGAAGAGGAAGACTTTTTGCATTCTATAGATTTTATAAAACTAAATTAGCGAGATCGAGCACACAAAGTCAGTTCGACGCGCGATTTTTCCGCGCGCGATATGCGGCATATTTGAGCGGCAAATGGTATGACATTCATTCTGCCTCGCACATTTGTTACACACAATACGAGAAATTATGCGTACGGGACTAACGGTGCGTAAACCAGTGTTCTTTGACGTTAACAAATCTAATGCAGACTTTTCTTTCAAAAAAAAAAATACGAACGATGGTCTTACGTGACACCTCCGTCGTAAATTCTGCGATATAATTTAACCTGTTGTCTTAATACTTCTCTTCAGGTGATTGCGATAATATGCTTCGCATTGGTATTAGTTAGTGGATTGATAGCAATAACAACCGACTCAGCCGTCTTCTACAGGCTGATCAACGCCGCTCCCTTCATGGAACATCCTGTACACAACACAGTCGCTTTAGATGCAGGTAAAATTCTTCTTGTCTACTGGTCAATGAAATCAATCAATAAAAGCTTTTTGAAGGCACCATGGTACGTATCTATTCGATATTGATAGTCTACTTAATTTCCTTATTCCTCGAAGTATGGTTCGTCATTGTGATTTACAACTGTAATCGATACCTGGATGAACGAAGTACCTACATGAAATACTGCCTTGCTTTCAGTACTCCCATGAAAACATTGTCTACTAGGTGATATAGAGAAGATATCGAATTTTCTTTTTCTATGTATATATGTGTTCTAGTGTACAGTTCCATAGTTATAAGAGAGGCAATACCTGATCTCTATCGTGTAGCCAATAATTTATGTAGAATAGTAAATAATTTTTCTTCTTTTTGTAAAATTGAATAACTTTCTGCACTGATATTTCTACTCCTGCTTACTTACGTTCTGAGTGTCATATCTCTTCATAGTTGATTTCTTGGTTCTATTGTAGTGGGCAGTCGAATAGAAGTATAATATGCTTGAGAACAAATGATACACTTAATGGACCTGAAATGATTCGTGTAATGGCATTCCTGATATGTCTATCCAGAAATCCTCCATTCTATTCCATTCGTTCACTTCTGTACACGTTGAAAGAATTTATTGGTAGTTTAACACAAAATTAGACGTCTAGCCAATAGTGAACGTCATAGTACGTGTGTATCGGCGCGCGCGACTTCGTTCCGATGCGAGCGGTCCGATCGATACTGCCCGGGGAGCACTCGCATTCATCGCAATAGCGCGCGTCGATGTTGACGCTCTCTTGATCTTTTAATGAGTACTTTGATTTCAGTCTTTTTGTTGTACATACTTACTGGAACATCTTCATTGACATTACCTCAGGCGTTTCATTCGTTTGTCAATGAATACTTGTCTTGAATTTTTTCTTTATACATCTATAGTGAAGCCTCACTCTTGCAATTGCAGAAGTACAGTTGTTTGCCTAAAGTCATGAAAACTAAGAAAAACGTGATGTAATCGTGATAGAGCTACGCGCTAATTCCTCTGACTGATTGCTTACGTTTTTGATGAGAAGTTTCTCAAAGTCGGTAATTCACCCCAACTTGCTGCTCTATCAACGCAAGTAGCGGTTGTTCGATCATGTGTGTTAGAAATTGGTTCTAGATATAAACGTGACGGTTATGTACATATGATTATGCGCAGTCGAACAATGAGCAAAGGCAGGCTCACAATTCGAAATGGTGAACGGTACTCCTGAAGCTTTATGCTCTTGCCATATAGTGAAATTGGGCGACTTTCAGACTTTTCAAGAAAACGTTATGTCTTAAAAAAGCTTGGATGCGCAGTCTTTCGGCCACTGGCAGCACACAGTCTATATCTATCGATCAAACGCAGGCTGTACGTGGCCAACGGACGTGTCACGTGTTACGGCGCAGACGTAAAGTCAGAATGCGGCCAGCGAACTGCAAAAGCGCTGCTGCTCAATTATACTGCTCGTGCTTCTATGTCTCTCACGAATCAGTTGAATTTTTCTCTAATAATTCATGATGGTGTCATACTCTCAGGGGCTCATTCACTCATGATGTGTTATTTCTTCATCTCTTGTTTTTGGTGGCATTCCATTCCTTGGTTGTGTATTTGTTTTTATTGGATTCAAACCGGGTCACGTGTTATGAAAAATGAAATAGTTGTTAGGTTTTCAGTGTTTTGACAAAACAGCCTGTCACTCTAGCAACTATTTCAGCTAGCAAAAATCGGGAGTTGTGCGTTTCACGCGCGAATATAATGAGGTCATCTCGCGTGGAGGGCGGAGCTTGTGGCAGCGCGGTGCCGCGGACGAGACGCGCCATAACATCATGCCTACCGTCATAATGGGAGAATAGGAAGTTGTAAGAGATAAGTAGAAAAATTAGCTATTATGCGCGTTTAAAAAGAATTGCGTCTATTAGGATCGAAACATTTTCAAGATTCTCTTATTTTGAACGTTTGACAAGTAAATTGTTGAACCATGAACTCACACACGAAAGGGCTTTATTGCCATAGTTAAGAGGTTTGCACTACCTCATGGTGATGCCAAGGACTAGTGCAAATCTCATTTGGTTCATCTCAGCTGTAGGGTACTGAAACGATCGAAACACGTACGTAATCTGCCGCGTGGCGTGTCGTTCATGCCTAAATCCTCACCACTTTTTCTCCTTGTAGGAACTAGGGTACTTCTTCAGCACATTGTTCGTCTTGAAACCTTATTTCAAACCTTATAATGCGGTGATTTAATGTCAAAAAACGGAGAAACAGTTAGTAAGCGGTGTCGATGGAACAACAATTTAATAACTGACGCCAGCTAGGGCGCGCGTTTAATTTCGCGTCGTCAACTATTACATTTAAATGCATGATTATGAATATTTAGTATATCGCCAAACCCCTCCCCCCGTTAAGGGTGTAAACGATTTTTCTGAATTCACACGAATTCGTCTCCCCTTTACAGATTTCAGTTTGCAATCTCTCTTTAGAAGAAAAGACGCAAAATAAATCTTCCGTGATACAGCGCTCAGTATGGGAGCCATTTGGAGGATATCGCAAGCCCCCTGCGTTCTATTCGAAGGTATCTGAAGAGAGTCAATGTTCAAGAGCTTCTCCGATGATGGGATGCTCGTACGAAGTTACTGCCAGCAACAATAGGAGAGTTCTGAGAGCTGGTCTAAACAGTGCCTGCTCTTTGAAACAAGCTTGCTCGAGAATGGGCCTTTTAGGGTCGTAATGTACTGGTGGAGGACTTAAATAGAAGTAGCAGCATCGCCAGGTCTACAATGAACAGAGCTCCGCGTCTTACCAATTACTACAGAAACCTACGATACTATTGCAAAGTTGAACTTGGGAAGCTACTGGATTAAGATAAAACTCTATTACGCATGATTCATGCAGTCACGTAACCTCGTTAAGTTAATCGAAGTACAATGAGAAGAAGTCCAATCTGGATGGTCCCGATAATCTATCGATGTGACTTCCGAAAGCACACAAAGTAGCATAGCTGTCGCAATTCCGTAGGAGGTCATGGTATGGAGGCCTCTTGCAAAGAAGTCGTGCTGGTGCTTGCTTTCGGGACCTGCAAAATGCACTCCAAGGACTACCAAGAAGTCTTGCAAGGTGCACTGGGTCATTCTCGAACTGGCGACACGGTCTTAACTGTGTTTTCCAAAAGAACAAAGTCGCCAAAGATGATCAACCTTTAAAGCCTGGAATAAGATTGGTAGTGGAGTATAATACTGCATGAGCTTGTTTCGAGTACGCCACGGATTCTAATCGATGTTGAGCTATTATAGAACAAGCTGGACCTATAGAGTGTTGGTTGTGTTATATTTCGGTTGCCATAAACACTGATAATCTCTTCGAGTTCTGCAAGTAAGCTTATGCTTCTGTAGAGAGACTGAAAATCATTCACGATTATGTTTTTTATGTCGATGTTAAACCAGAAGTTAATTCAGCCAGAATTTGTTCTAAAATCGGTGATTCAATAACAAGGCTAAACACGCAACTGTTTTCATTCTGGAATGCCATATTCCGAGGATGACTTTATACTTATGAGACGCTCTGCATATGGTGTTTCGTATCTCAAGCTCTCTCAACGCTTGCTTCTGCTATTTTGTTATCATCGTCGAGTGACGTAACGTTGACGCTGATAAATGCTACTTGGTCTGGTCACCATAGACGTTCCGCTTTGATATTCTAATTGTTTAACACTTTAATATTCTGATTGTTCAAAAACGTCTTCATGCCAATGGATGGCAGAGTGGATCCTGCGCCTTCGAAGATGCAGTCTCATCGTTGTTCCCACGTACTCTTTGCACCTCTGATGAAGCGTTTCTCAAATTTGAAGGCAAACATAGCACAGCAAGTGCGAGCTGCCATTTGTAGTGCTATTTGTGTTCTTTTTTTGTATGTGACGAACATCGTTCTTTTTTGTATGAGTTTTNGTCCACATTATGAATAATATACGAAGGCGCTTTCAACTGTAAGAAATCATAATCAATAAAAAAGAATGCCTCGTGGTAAAATTAATTGTCAGCGATAGTGCCATTTTTGCTTATTACCTTTTAGAACTTGCCGGTGGCTCCATCCATGAACAAGTTTTGAATGGCTAGTTCTGTAATCTCTCGGGAGGGAAATGCTAGCTGAAATTGATTAATTCATGGTCGACAAATTGTTGAAGTGCTACAAGTTCTTGAGTGTTGGCAGGAAAAGCTTGACTATCTGCACCCAGATGGGGGATCTTGTACCCGGACGCAGTCGCGCCCTCCGCGTACAGGGCGCCCTGTGAGGTAATAGTTCGAATCTATGTCGGGTGATTATGTTGATTGCCGCGAGGCTACTGCCACGCGCGTGCCTGTCAAAGGGTTCGGGTACAAGATCCGCCACTTATCTACACCTGAATTCCGCGACTGTTTTAATCAAGGCTTATTTTCAGGAACAAAGAATGTGTGCCGAACCGCCCATGTATTTCACATGGCACTGAAAAGCGGGAAAAGAAAACATGGTGCGATTTCCGTCAAAATTGTTCGCAACGAGGAACGTAAAACAAAAAATTCTCGATATATCGGATTGGGGAGAGAAGCACAAGCGGATAACTCCGCGATATACATATCACAGTAGAGTGGAGAAGCCCAAAGCAATGGGCCTAAGTTACATTGGAATAGGGTAAGAATTGGAAGCGAAAGCCCGCGCAAATAGCCCTACGTGAGCGGATCACTCCGCGCTACATCACAGGGGAATGGAGCAGGAGCGGGGGCGGATAACGCCGCGTTACATCAAAATGGGGCTAAAGCATGAGCGTATAACTCCGCGTTATATCACAATGAAGTGGAGAAGAGGCAGACGTAGATAGCCCCGCGACATATAGGATTGGGGTTGAGAGCTTGAGCGGATCACTCCGCGCTACATCTCAGTGGAATGGAGGAGGAGCGGGGCGGATAACGCCGCGTTATATCAGAATGGGATCAAAGCGTGAGCGGATCACTCCGCGCTACATCACAGTGGAGTGGAGGAAAAGCGGGGACGGATAACCCCGCGTTATATCAGAATGGGGCTAAAGCGTGAGCGGATAGCTCCGCGCTATATCACAGTGGAATGGAGCAGGAGCGGGGGCGGATAACGCCGCGTTACATCAAAATGGGGCTAAAACATGTGCGGATCACTCCGCGCTGTATCGCAATGGTGCGGAGAAGAGGCAGAATCAAGTAGCCCCGCAACACATAAGATTGGGGTTGAAAGCGTGAGTAGATAACTCCGCGCTACATCGCAGTGGAGTGGAGAAGAGGGAATTGAATATCCCTACACATTAGGCTGGAATCGAAAGCGCAAGCGGATGGCTTAGCGGCATAGCGCAACTCGGTGGAGGACATGTCGGCTGAATTTGTATCTTATTCATGTAAGTCTTAGAAGTATCGTACCACATACTGATAACAAAAGTATTCTAAACCAACCCCATTTGCTTGAAGTAAATCCTACCGCGATAGATAAGTGAAAGGAGGAAGGTGGAAAGGCAGTAGTTACGACAAGAATGGACACCAGTTTTGGACCTATCGATGGCATCAGGTAACTGAATTGAGAATTAAATTAGGTTTCAGAGAGTCAAAGATCTTCCAATGTAATTTTTATTTGGGCACCTCTTTAATTTGTAAAAACTGAAGACTGGATCAGTGCAAGAAAAAGTAGACGTTATAGCTTCAATGAAAGCTTTTCATTGATATAAGGTCCCCACTTTTATTTTCCCTTCCCTTTGGCTCTCATGCTTGGCGTTTATATTCGTAATGAAGTATGAAGAAGATTAAAGGAGAGAGTATTGAAGCTCCAGCAAGGGAGTTCTACGCAAAATTAAATCAAGTAACTGAAGTATCCGCACTAAATATTGTGATGTTATTCGCTCACACCTATTTAGGATTCATGCCAAAGCCGACATGAAAAGTTTGTTTGGAGCATGTGTGGTCACATCGAACACTGTGCGTCTATGTAGAGCCTGGAGATTGCTCAGTAGTTTTACCAAATGCCACTATGGTAATGGCCTGGTGCATGAAGGATCTCAAGCGGTCTGGTTAGTATTGTATTCATTGTGATGTATCAAGCAGTGGTGTGGATAGTCAATAGCTATTGTCTGCGTTGACTACAAGTGGTGCTATCACTGACAGTTTGGAATTTTTGTGCTAAAAAAAGTTTTTATAATGTCTCATATGTCTGGCCTACATCTGTTTGCGTTCAATATTGCGAACAAAGGAACCAGTAAACGTCTTTTGAGGGAGTTTTACATTGGTTCTTATGAGCGGTGAACTTAATATCCTAGATTTATGCAACATCGCTAAGGGAACTGAACATGTACTTGTTGTCGTAGCAGCGGAAAACAGAGCGACGCTACTGTTGCCCATATGCTCCGATAATTTCCGATTGAAAGCTCGTTCGCGTTAAGCCTTCCGTAATCATATTCCGATGATTCGGCACCTTCCCTCTGCAACCATTTTCATGTAGGCCAGTAACTCGCGAAGCTCAAGAATCTTTGTTGCCATACGAAATGCCATGCCAGTGTGCTTACGAGACTGTACGGATCTCGAACTTGGAGCACTCGCAAAGTACTGTACAATGTCTACTCACAGCTGCACTGCGGAAAGATTGTTGTGCGTCACAAAGGGTATTTCGGGCATTATTCATTTTAGCTTACTATATTCTATCTAGACTTCTTATGTTACTACTGTTCATGCCATATGCTGTTGGTTTTTCGGTGTTGTTTGAGAATAAACATGATCAGGACACAGTTTTGAATCATGATAGTAACTAGGTCAGGTGCCATGTTTGGGTAGATCCGAATAAAAAGTAACCTTTTGTTCAGCCTACTAGCTGTGAGCTGACCCTCCAAAGGTCTTTATCAGAATCATTTTTCAGACATCAAACTAAAACGCTACTGCTTTTGGAATTACAAGTAGCAATATGTCTACCCAACGACAGATACCTCTGTCAAGATGGTGCACATACCGCTGGGTCGACGTGAGATTACAAATTAAACTCAGTTACGAACTGTAGTAACTTGTTCTGACTTGATGTTCATGTTAACTGCTGGCAAAATTTTGGTTTCAGAGTGACAAAGTTGTGACAAGAACAGCCTTCAGCTAAACGGTTAGATGCCGATATTGGCTGACCGCCTGAACACGATGTACTACTCCGTACTGGAAGTTTTCTCTATTCTAGGATTCTTAAAGGCGCCATTCGGAATAGGTATTTCAATCTATCCACACTTGAGTCACGGCGTAAAGTATTTGACATATGTATGGTTTATAAGCTTCT